TAATGCAATCCCTGGGAAAGAATGTAATCTGGTGCGATGTGCACCACATGACATTCAGTGGAGCACAGGGGAGACATCCAGGGACCTTGGATGTCTCAAAGAGAACCTGTCACCACAGATCATCACATAGGGGACTTTGTCCCCTAAGTGATGAAAAAAAAAAAAAAAAAAAAAAAAAAAAAAAAAAAAAAACTACATCACCTCCCACAAGTAGTACAGTGTCACTATGGTGACAGTATGTGTAAAAAAAAAAAAAAAAAAAATGTACAAAAAAAAAAATTATAATTTTTGGTTATGAGCTAATTGGGTTCAGTGTTTCTCAACTCCAGTCCTCATGGACCCCCAACAGGTCATGTTTTCAGGATTTCCATTATTTTGCACAGGGGATTTGATCAGTTTCACTGCCTTAGTAATTATCACAGCTGTTTCATCTGAGGGAAATCCTGAAAACATGATCTGTTGGGGGTCCATGAGGACTGGAGTTGAGAAACACTGGGTTAGATGAATACATTTTCGCCAAGATTTATGAAGAAAGATTATTTGCTAAATTGTATAAGAAAAACACTTTTTTTTCAAAATTTTTGGACTTTTTCATTTATATAGCAAAAAAAATAAAAAGGTGATCTATGTTCTGTTTTTATGGTGTGCATATTTGCCCCGATTCATGTGTGGCCCTTTACTGAACGTATGGATATGGGACCTGTCCCCCTTATTTGGGGAAGGTGGGTTCCTTCTCTTTTATGTACGTGTCTATGCACATCGTTGTATGTGTTTATATATGATGTTTAAAAATATGTTCAATAAAACTTTTATGGGGGGACTATCCCTTCAACATATTACATTACAAAGCTACATCAACCATAGCAAGAACGAAAAAAAAACAAAAAAAAAAAAAAAAAAAACAGACGCGCTTGCATGCTGGACTGATCAAACTTCAAAGAATATTTATAAAAACAAAAAAGTACAACAATGGTGGAAGTACCAACTCCACTCCAAAATGCCGACATGTCAACCACACAACCTCCTTTACTTTAAACAATAACCAAAAGAAAAGGAAAATGGAACACAATGAACCACAGAGCTCATCTGAAGTAGAGGATTATGGGAACAGCAGGTCAGCATCACAGATGTCAACCGGAAAAGTAAGACACTAATCACCAGAGCTATAAAAACTAACCAGGTAACAGGTCACAGTGAGAAAACAACATATTTACAGTGAATCTTATTAAAGTCCATTGTGGGACAGTCCTCAAGTCTGCTCGTGCATTGCTTGGCCTACCTTCTCGGTCTGGCTGAGCAGGAAGTGGTAGAAGTGAGGATCGTCCCGAGAGCGCTGCAATCGAACAGAGAGAGAAACTGAGATGCTTCCCTCTATACCAGGACAATGAATACTGAGCTTTTAATGAGAACCAGTCTTTAAAAATATGAACTCATCCAGAACTGAAAATGAATTGTAGGCCCCATGTATACCTGCATGCACTGTACCCATTCTTGAGCTTACTGTATGCAAATATTGATGTTTCTCCGTGTTTAAAGCTGAACTCCAACCTTACCTTTTTTACCTTCAAACTCATTTCTTTTATTGAAATGGATTACTTTCAATTTCCTAAAAACCTGCATTTCTTCAATAACACCCTTTGAAAATGTCAGCAGCTATCTACAGCCGCCTAAAGTTCCTGTCTGAATGACTTAAATCATCATTAGTCCCCTTTCCTCCTGATCTATACGGTGATTGCCCACCTCTCACAGATATTAACTTTCTTTGCTATCAGTTGTTCCCAAGCAATATAGAAAGGAACATCCCTCTAGATGTGCCTGCTCAAGTAACTGATCAGAATGTTGCAAAGGTAAATCTGCGGACACAGTAGCCAGCAGGTGGTAGCATGCATGTCTAAAGGGATGCCAGGAATGTGTTTTTTTTTTTTTGTTTTTTTTTAAACATTCGGGCACTTGAAAGAAGATCCGAAGCAGGGTGCTGTAATGTTTACAGGAGATTACAAGCCCCTCCAATTAAACTAGAAAAAAAGGCCAGTATGCAGGCCCAGTGGTGACATCACTAGATCTTAAAAAGTGGTAGATCTTCAAAAGATGATGATCAGAAGGTGAAGAAGGAACAAGGCAAAGTATATGTAAGCATTGCACTTCCGTATAAGGGCCACCCTCTACATGGTACACTGCAAGACAGACTCCTGAACAGGTATCCGAGATGCCATAGTTGTGCTGAGAGATGCAGGAGGCTCAAGATTAGGCTGGCTATACACTATACTATTTTCTGTCCAATTTCTGCCCAATTTCCTTTGGATTTCCCATCAACTGTGTAGTGCAAGGGCCAGCCTGATTGGATACAACTGAAAGTGTTGTTTGGGTTTGACCTCTTATTATATGGTTTTTGGTAAATCTAAAGCAAAATTCTCAAGAAAATTGTATAATGTATGGCCAGCCTTAGTCACCAAGACTGAAAAGCCGGTATCTGCATACAACATGCTACTGCAGGAGAAGCCTGGTTCATTTAAAGGGGTTGTAAAGCCTTAAGGTTTTTTTTTACCTTTATGCCTCAAAGTAAAAAAACCTTCTGCTCCTGGAATCCCCCCCCCCCCCCAGCCCCCCTTAAACTTACCCGACCCCCACTGCAATCCAGTGCTGTTAATGAGAGCAGCGGCCCTGCCAGCTCTGTCCTTCCTCACAGGGCAAATAGAAAGCAGCAGGAGCCATTGGCTCCCGCTGCTGTTAATCAAACTCTGATGAGGGAGCAAGGTTGTGCTCCTACTGTCTGTTTCTATGGAAGCAGACATCAGGGCATGGGAGTGAGTGCCCCCATAGGAAGTGGCTTCCTATGGGGGCAATGGATGAAGGAAGAGGAGCCAAGAGCGCTGACAGGGGACCCAGGAAGAAGAGGATCTGGGCTTTTCTGTGCAAAACCATTGCACTGAGCAGGTATGACATTGGCTTCTGCTGCTGTCAAACTCTGAAGAGGGAGCAAGGCTGTGCTCCTGTCATCTGTTTCTATGGAAGCAAACAGCAGGGCTTGGGAGTGAGCCTTCACGAGTGCCCCCATAGGAAGTGGCTTCCTATGGGGGCAATGGATGAAGAGGAGGAACCAGGAGTGCTGACAGGGGAACCAGGAAGAAGAGGAGGATCTGGACTTTTCTGTGCAAAACTATTGCACTGAGCAGGTATGACATTGGCTCCTGCTGCTGTCAATCAAACTCTGAAAAGGGAGCAAGGCTGTGCTCCTGCCATGTGTTTCTATGGAAGCAGACAGCAGGGCTTGGGAGTGAGCCTGCACGAGTGCCCCTATAGAAAACCACTGCACTGAGCAGGTATGACATGTTTTAGAAAAAAAAAAAAAAATTGAAGCTTTACAAAACACTTTTAAATGAACCAGTGGCCATGTGATCAGATACCCAAGCAAAGGTCAAGTAATCTCTGACTACCATAAGCCATGTGGGCGTTTCAGATTATTGGAGACTGATCATTCAAAATTTCCAAAATCAGTCAGACCCCGTTTGCCAATCAAGCAGTGAGAGGAGAAGGCCTGCGTGGCACAAATATTTTGCAGCACTGGTAAGAAGGGAAGGAAAAAAAGTAAAAGAAGGAAAAAAAAAAAAAAAGGAAAAAAAAGGGGGAAAAAAAAGGGGGACAAAAAAAAAAAGGGGGGGGGAAGGAAAAAGGGGGGGGGAAAGGGAAAAAGGGAGGAAAAAAGGGACAAAAAAAGGGGGGGGGGGAAAGGAAAATGGGGGGTAAAGGGGAAAAAAGGGAGGAAAAGGGGGGAAAAAAAGGGGGGGGAAGGAAAAAAAGGGGGAAAAAAAAGGGAAAGGAAAAAAAGGGGGAAAAAAGGGAGGAAAAAGGGAATAAAAAAAAAGGAGAAAGGGGGGGGGGTGAACAGAAAAAAGGGGAAAAAAAAAAAAAAAAACAAAAAAGGGGGGAAAAAAAAAAAAAAAAAAAAAAAAAAAAAAAAAAAGGGGGGGGGGGGGGGAGGGAATAAAAAGGGTGGAAAAAAGGAGAAAAAAAGGGGGGGGGGAAGGAATAAAAAAAAGAAAAAAAAAAAAGGGGGAAAAAGGTGACAAAAGGGGTGGAAAAAGGGGGGGGGGGGGGGGGGGGGGGGCGGGGGAAGGAAAAAAAGGGAGGAAAAAGGGAATAAAAAAAGGAGAAAAGGAGGGGGGGGGTGAACAGGAAAAAAAAGGGAACAAAAAAAAAAAAAAAAAAAAAAAAAAAAAAAAAAAAAGGGGGAGAGGGGGGAAAAGGGAAAGGAAAAAAAAAAAAAAATGGAATAAAAAAAAAGGGGGGGGGGGGGGGGGGGGAGAGAATAAAAAGGGTGGAAAAAAGGAGAAAAAAGGGGGGGGGGGAAGGAATAAAAAAAGAAAAAAAAGGGGGAAAAAGGTGACAAAAGGGGTGGAAAAGGGGGGGAGGGGGGGGGGGGGAAGGAAAAAAAGGGGAAGAAAATAAAGGGAAAGGAAAAAAAGGAATAAAAAAAGAAAAAAAAGGTGGGGGGAGGGAAAAAAAAGGGCGAAAAGGGAATAAAAGAGAAAAAAAGAGAAAAAAAGGGGGGGAAAAGGGGAAAAAAAGGGGGGGGGGGGGGGGGGGAAGGGAGAAAAAGGGGAAAAAAAAAGGAGAAAGAGGGGGGGGGGGGGGAACAAAAAACCTGCAGCTCCCCATTTAAAGTCGGAGGATTTAGCAAACTGCTTCTGCTCCCTAATGTTCTTGTCCGTCTGCCGAGGGGTTACACACGGCCTGCAGTAACTGGCAGATCCTGACTACAACCTACTTCCATTCCTCTAGCGAAGAGTCTTAAAATATCTGACAAATTGCCTGCATCAATGGCTGAGATGGTTGCCATGGCGACAGTGTTCCAGAGTCGATTTACAAGTGCTCCGTCTCTCTCTGTTACTTGTTTCATGCCTTCCAGGAGAGGAGAATCCTGTGACCAGCATACTCCCAGAGCCATTACTGCCAGGAAACCAGAGAGCTGGGCATGAGAGAGCCGAGGAGTGTATCCTTACCTCGCTGGAGGGTGGGGGCCAGCTGAAGCGAGACACCGTTTTCATGGCCAGCTTCTTCAGGGAGCTTGGCTGTGGAGACGTGGTGTCCTGCAAAGAGGGAGAGGAACGTTAGACACACACAGGGGGGAGATTCACGAAGATTGATGCACTCCATCGGGTGCAGCTGTGCATGGTAGCCAAATCAGCTTCCATCTTCAGCTGGTTCAATAAGGCGAGGTTCACACCTATGCAGTTTGCGTTTGCAGTTCCTGCAGTGCATTTTTGCACGTGCATTTTGCATTTTTAAAAAACATTTTTCTTGTTGCTAGGCAGATTTAAAAACACAAAACGCATCAAAAATGTGGCAAAAACAAAAAAAAAAACCACACACTAAATGCTTTTCTGCAGAGTTTCGATTGAAGTCTTTAGAACCAAAAACGCAACTTTTTGCGTTTAAAAAAGTCCCTGACCCTTTCTGGCAGCCCATGATATGAAACCGCTTCTGCTTGGCTGCTCCCCAGCTGCTGCAAGGATTCGACATGCTGGATGGTTCAAATAAACGTTTCCCCAGCAGCACACAACTGTTCCTTCTGCTCTTGTCGGCAGCATGAAACATAGCGTGAGCTGGGGATGCAGGTGTTCCACAAACACAGGGTAAGTACATAGCAGAAGTTCACTTGAAAGGGTTCGTTCACCTTAAAACAGAAAAAAAAAAAGAAGCTGAACAAACACTGTACACCCTCCCCACTATACAAACATCTGGGGATGCTGAGCTGTCAGTGTCTGTGCAGCCTGTCCAGCATTCCCGGCATCTGAAATCCCAGCTCTTCTCCCTCTTCTCTGTGCAGCACTTCTGGGATAGACCATAGATTGGTCAGAGCCAGACACAGTAATTCTGATTGGTCAGAGCCTGCACACAGCAATCCTGATTGGTCAGAGTCTGCACACGGTAATCCGGATCAGTCAGTCTGCACACGGTAATCTGGATCGCTCAGAGTCTGCACACGGTAATCTGGATTGGCTCAGAGCCTGCACACGGTAATCCGGATTGGCTCAGAGCCTGCACACGGTAATCCGGATTGCTCAGAGCCTGCACACGGTAATCCGGATTGGCCAGAGCCTGCACACGGTAATTCGGATTGGCCAGAGCCTGCACACAGTAATTCAGATTGGTCAGAGCCTGCACACAGCACACAGTAATTCGGAATCCGGATCGGTCAGAGCCTGCACACGGTAATCCGGATTCGGCCTCAGAGCCGGATGCAGAGCCTGCACAGTAATCCGGATTGGTCAGAGCCTGCATAATGAATCACTCTGGTCTGTCTCGGAAGTGCTGCACAAAGAAAAACGGTGAAGAGCTGAGATTTCAGATCCCTGGACTGTTGGGAGTGCAGCAGGGACTGGAGAGAGGTGGAGAGTGTGTACAGTGTAGTACCTTTACTTTTAGTTCACCTTCTTTATTCTGTAAAGTTGAACTGACCCTTTAGGCCTCGTTCACACCATAAATGTAGAAAAACTGATGGAAACTGGACGCACAGATTTCACTTGCAGAGACATCAGTTTTCATGCACGCTTTAAAGTTTTTTTACACATTACAGATTATTGCACAGAAAAAAAATCTGCATGATACTAGTATTGTGGTGTGAACAGGGCACATAGGGAACAATTTATTTCATTGTGCAGTGCAGAAAAACGGACGTCTCTGCACCATGGTGTGAACGAGCCCTGAATCCTTCTCGTTTCTGCCCCTCTCTCTGACTTCATCTTGTACAATACGGGGCCCGTGGCCACATTCATGTACTAGAGGGAGTAGGACTGGACCACGGGACGGAAGGTAAAGGTAATAGGTTTTATTATCCCCTAGAAAAGCTTTATATTCTTTATCACCTATTGTAAGTAGGGGAAGAAAAAAATTGTCAAAATTCTACTGCCCACGTCGTCTTGGAGAGGAGGACGTCACACTCCTTTCGGTTAGATTCTAGGGAATACAGAGCAGCCGAAATCTCGCAAGACGACATCTTATTGAAAGAACCACTTTAAGGGAACCTGTCTGTGAAGCGGTTTCATGTTGAAGTCAGACAGCTGGCTCACGAGCTTTGCAGCCAGTGCCAAGAAGCACACAGATGGCTGCAGTGAGTCATACAATACCGTATTTAAAAAAAAACTGTCTCTGGGCAAAAAAATAAAAAAAGTTCTCCTATGCAGTGGGGCTGTACCTGTAGGAGTCAAATGCTCGTTTTGTCTAGGAGTGAGGAGAAAGTTTATACTCACCCGATCCTTCACGGTAATCGGAAAACAGTGCTCACCCACGGTCCAAAGGTTGACTGTTCCTGGTCTGTAGAGCCTGCTCTGAGCTTGATGACATCAGGAATAGTGCACAACTTGAGACTGCTGGAACGTGGGGGTGTCAGACAGGTTTAAGAACCAGGGAATGAACTGGCCTACATTTCCACAAACAAACAAGTTTCAGAACCAGAGATATATATATATATATATATATATATATATATATATATATAATATATATATATATATATATATATATAAAAAAATGGAACCCATCATCAGGAAAAAAATAAGCCCAAATCATAAAGGGAGGCTCATCATTAGGGTAAGCACATACTGATGTGGCATAAGAATCAAAAGTAACACCCTCCACCTTATACTGCTTTAAAGTTTCTGATGGGCATTTCATTTCTTGCAAATACAGAACTGACTCTAACTGCGATGTATATAAACAGTGGTATGCCCTTCGCACCTTATCGTCCTTGGGCGGTCTTCCTCTTTTGCGTGGGCTCTGGTCTCTGGGCTTTTTGGGGGATTTGGGGGAAGAGGACTCTGACTTCTTTTTTTTCTCTCCAGTAGTCTTCTTTGTTTTGCCCTCTGCTTTCTTGCCACTGGCTTTGTTTTTATCATCACCCGAGCTCTGAAAAAAAAATTAAAGTTCAGCAGGGAAAACAGTACTGGAAAAACACACATACACTTATGGGCAGCACAGTGGCTAAATGGTTAGCACTTCCGCCTGGCAGTACTAGGGTCGTTGGTTCAAATCACAGCCACGGCACCACCTGCCTGGAGTTTGCATGTTCTCCCTGTGCCTGCGTGGGTTTCCTCTGGGTACTCCGGTTTCCTCCCACACTCCAAAGACATGCTGGTAGGTGAATTGGATCCTGTCTAAATTGGCCCTAGTATGTGTATGTATGAATGAATGTGAGTTAGGGACCTTAGATTGTACGCCCCTTGAGGGTTAGGGACCTTAGATTGTACACCCCTTGAGGGTTAGGGACCTTAGATTGTACACCCCTTGAGGGTTAGGGACCTTAGATTGTACACCCCTTGAGGGTTAGGGACCTTAGATTGTACACCCCTTGAAGGTTAGGGACCTTAGATTGTACACCCCTTGAGGGTTAGGGACTGATGTGAATGTACAATATATATGTAAAGCGCGGAGTAAATTGACGGCGCTATATAAGTACCTGGAATAAATAAACACACAAATACAATTAAAAGGGACCCGGTAACTGGGAAATATAACCCAATATAGCTCACTTATAGGCAGCATCACAATAGGGGACAGTTACTATAACTGGTGCGCACAGAATCTGATGCAGCTGTGCATAGTAACCAATCAGCTTCTAACTTCAGCACGTTCAATTAAGCTTTGACGAACAAAAAAAAAAAAAAAAAAAAAAAAGTTTACAAGCAGATTGGTTACTATGCACAGCAGCACAGGTTTTAGTAAATCCCCCCCAATAGGTCACTATACACAAGGGACTTGTCTTAAATCTTCAGTATGTGAAAAAGCAATGTGGACAGAAAGCTTTTACAGTATATTTGCAAAGCCATCAGTAAACTTCAAGCAGGTACCTGGTTATAACAGGCTTTTGACAGGAGGCCCTCTCCTTCCCCCCGCAGTTTTCTGGGACGCTTCACAGGACCTAGAAGACTGCGAAACCAATCTCACGGCACACCACAACTCGTGCATGTGCAGTAGGAAACCCAGCTGAGAAGCCGCCAGGCTTTCCCAAGATAGCGCAGCCAGCACCTGATAGCCGACTGAAGACACTGCTGGATGCCTGGACAAGTAAGCATCCCAATATTAAAATTCAGCAACTACAGTATTTGTAGCTGTTGACTTTTAATTTTTTTTTTTTGGGGGGGGGGGGGGGGGCAGAACTCCTCTAAGTTTCAGTATAGCGAAGTTACACACAAACCTTAAATGAAGTGCTGGCCGTCATTTTAAATCCATGTACAGATTGGCTTTGACTTGTAAAAGTTTGTACAGTTTTTTTTTTTATACAGCATTTGTTGAAAATATAAAAAAAATAACCTTCAGGCCCAGTATGGGGATGTTAAATACAATGGGAGTGCTGATAGTTACTTTAAACAAGCTCTCAGTGGGCTTCAGCAGATTTTTTACATCCCCCTGATGAAGTCACGTGACCCGGTGACGCAACGCATAGGGGAGGGGCTCTGACGTCACGACGTTGTCTTGGATTGAACGTCGAGTACAGCATACACAGCAGGCTATGCTCTTCACTTTTTTAGCACTTTTAAACTGCAAAAATGTGAGTGTAACATCGCACAGAATAAAATCTTTAATCTAAGAAGGATAAGGCACCATGATTTCTTCCTTTTTCTCTTATGCGATCCATCTGTGACATACTGGACAGAGGTTAATAAAGGAAGGAGGAGACCCCTGGAGGGGAAAGGGAGACATCCATCCATCCATCCATCCATCCATTCCTTTACATATATCAGTGAATTGGAGAGACCCCAGGTGGATAAATACCCAACTACAGCCATCTATACAGCATCTGGAGAAACCGAATGCAGGAGAATTATGATTATATCTGTCCCTTGAGGACAAAAAGCAAGTTTTGCCTATAAATATTAGGCAAAACATCAGGTGAGCGCATAATAAGATCACACTGCACCCCGTCTTTTTGGAGTGGAATATTTCTGAATTGAAAGAGAATATTTTTTGAATTGAAAGCGGACCCTGTTTACTTATATATTGACTTTGATTCACTGGTAATTATTTAGATTCACAGTGGCTATTAGCACTGGAATTTGATTTCTATATATGTTATATATTTTGATTTGGAGATATCAAAAGTTGTATTAAATTTCTATGCTATTTAATTTTACACAGGAGCGTGGCACTATTGGTTTAATGATTATGAGATTTTTCGCACACATTAAAAACTTACCTGCTCTGTGCAATGGTTTTGGAGATCCTTCTCTACTCGGGTCTCCCGCCTGGCACTCCTGGCCCCTTCCTCCTGCTGAGCTCTCCCAGGTCTCTCCCTCCTCATTGGCTGTGATTGACAGCAGCAGGAGCAAATGGCTCCTGCGGCTATATCCCAGCCAATGAGAAGGGAGAGACCTGGGAGAAACGATTCTAAATAAACAGGTACAGCGCTTACCCTAATAAATATCTATTAGTGCATGAATACAATAATAATTATTAATACGTGACTAAAAATGTATACCGTGACTATTATTGTGAAGTGAACTGATCCACTCAGGGATCTAAAGTGAAAACCAGAAGTGACTGAACATGGTGTTGTAAACAAACAGTGAAACCAAAAAAAGTCCAAAAATGGGACTAAAAATAATGTGAAAAGACAAATAAATGGTAGATGACAAATCCCTTAAATTGGGACCAAATAACTCACGAAATAATAATCACAGTGGCTTACATTGCCAAAACTGAAAACAAAGTGACAATAAGTGATTTCCTATTGAGGGATCAAAACTCCACAATAGTGACAAGTGCAGTGTTAGAACATAAACTCCCAAATATATATGAACATATAAAAATAATGTTATGAAAAATTTTTAGTCACGTATTAATAATTATAATTGTATTCATGCACAGAGACCCAGGAGAGCCACTTCTCTCATGCACAGCACTGGATCGTGATCAGGCTCAGGTAAATATTAGATGGGAGCTGCACACTGAAGGTTTTTTTACTTTTATGCATAGAATGAATGAAGGCAAAAAACCTTCAGCCTTTAGAACCATTTTAAAAAGTGTCATTAAACCTCTAAAATGTTCTTAGAAATGACAGCAGCTGATCTCAGCACTTACCTAGTCTGCCATTTCTTTAAAAGCGTACCCTTTAATTCTCCTAGATTGTAAGCTCAAAAGAGCAGGGCCCTCGATCCCCTCATGTTTTGCATTGTATTGGTATTGTTCTGTCACATGTTCTGTCCCCCTTTGTAATGTACAGCGCTGAGCGAACTATTGGCGCTTTATAAATACTGTAAAATAATAATAATAATTACTCTTTTATTCGAACAGGTCCAAAGATCACTGCTTCAGGTTTCCAGTTTTAGGGTGGCTATATTGCCTTTCAGGGTCCTCCGGACCAACTATTTTGTGCAAGCTTCCAAGAAAGAACTACAAGGCAGCATGAGGATGCTGCCTGAGAGCAGCAGATACAGAAGACAAGCCTCAGACATTTTCATCCACATTACCATTCAATAAAACCAGCAAGCAGCAGAATACTGACAGTCAGCACTCAAGATTAATGTTTTACAACTGCAAACTGGGATCTGAAGGTTGCTTTAAAACAGCGTTTCTCAACCTTTTTTGGGTCAAGGCACCCTTTAAAAATGGGACAGTTCCAAGGCACCCTTTAAAATTATGGACAGTCTTGAGGCACCGCATTCTAAAATGTGAAAAACTTTTCTAATAGTTTTCTATAACGCAGCAACATCCACACATGTAGGACACCCAACATTAGAGGTGATTTATTCTTCCAAAGCCATTACACTTTTGCACACTGGTACTGAGTAGTGTTCCGATGTTTCTCCGCTGCCTCAGTTTTTCTCCATCACTGAGCTAATGTGACCCCAGCACTGATGGAGAGGGGCGGGGGAGGGTCAAACTAGGATGCTGTGCAAGCAGCTGACATCCTCCTTATCAACTGATGTCATTGGTTAATCCAACACAACAAACACTTTACTCCTGCGCTAGGAAAGGACTCAGTAGACCCAATAGGAATGTTCTGGAATATGCACTGCTGGTCCGAATACACTGGATACAAATGGAGAAACAGAAAAAGGGTGCACTGACCTAGAGCATTATCGTTTAAAATAATTTATTAAAGAAACAAAATTAGGTATCATACTCACAATGGACATAATTACACAGCCATGTCAAACTGAACAAGGTGTATGATCCAAACAACATCTGAGTCCATACGATGGAACCCTGGATGACCAACGCATTTCGAAGACATAACCTCTTGGTTGGCTCTGAGGAAGAGGTTATGTCCTCGAAACGCGTTAGCCAGTTGGTCATCCAGGATGTCATTGGTTGTCAGGATGCCGGCGGCTGGAAGGTGGTAATGGTGCACAATGAAAACCTGTGGCTTTGTGTAACTAAAATGTAGGCTTGTTCGACCCGTTGGCTCGTATACAGGTTTTGGGAATTTTTTTTAGAAATTTTGCCAAGACACCCTGGTTGAGAAAGGCTACTTTAAAAGATGTCAAGAAAGACGACTGATGCTTGCTGAAAGCTTAGCAAATATAAATCTATATAAACAGAATCCCCTGTATACAAGCCACAAACAAGAAAGAGACTGCTAGAGAGCTGTGACAAGAGAGAACTTACAACCTCTATACACAAGTATTTATGGCAGGGGTGTCAAACTGGCGGTCCACCAGCTTTTGCGAAACTACAAATCCCATCATGCCTTTGGGAGTCATGCTTGTAACTGTCAATCTTGCAATGCCTCATGGGACTTGTAGTTTGGCAACAGCTGGAGAGCCGCCAATTTGACACCCGTGCTTTATGGGATGGCAAGATGGATGGGATGGATTGCTATTAGCAATCAGTTGGTTCCAAGCAAATATATCTAGGAACTTTGCTGCTCAATTTAGATTATTGTACTTTTCCTGTATCCCCTTGTTAGTGCATGCTAGCAGCATATTTGGGAGCCTACTGCCAGAACACTTTCTAGAACAAGGAAAAGCAATGGGTACAACCTACACAATTTAATAATTACATGTGATGCAGCTTTTCTCCCTCTATACCTGTTCCTTGGCAAGTTTCTTCTTCAAGAACTCTTCCACGGCATCCACAGCCTGCTGGAAACGTTTACCCTTGTTGGCTTTTATCATCTCCTCCTTGTGGGCTTGGTAGGGCTTTAGCTGCTCCATCTTGATCCAAGCACTAACAGAGAGAATACAGCACTTAAATCAGGAGTAACTAACAAAGCACCATTGACAACGTTATTTATTTTTTTTTTTTTTAAAGAGACCCTGTCATCACGCTACACCTAACAAAACCCTGTCACCAGACTATTCAATCCATCAAAAATCCTCCCAGCAGATTATATATACACATTTAATGTATTTCTGAATATGTTGTTATACTAATATAGCCATTCAAAAGCCCCAAGACCGCTGCTGGACCAGGGGCAGACTGACAACTCATGGGGCCCCCGGGCAATGGGGGGATCATGGGGCCCCTGTGTCCTTGCCAAATGCAAAAAAGCTTATGAAAAAGGTACCAGGGGCATCTTATGGGGCCCCCTACTGACCCCGGGCCCTCGGGCCGTACCCGAGTTTCCAAATGGTCAGTGCGCCCCTGTGCTGGACACTGCCATATTAGAGGTGATGTCAATAGCTCTTGCACACTCAGAGCTACGATTCGACTGACACTCTTAGGCTGGCCATACATTATACAATTTCCTTTAGAAAACTGCTTTAGATTTACCAAAAACCATATAATAGCAGGTCAAACCTAAACAATACTTTCAACTGACATGCTGGTAGGTGAATTGGCTCCTGTCTAAATTGTCCCTAGTATGTGTATGTATGAATGTGAGTTAGGGACCTTAGATTGTACGCTCCTTGAGGGTTAGGGACTGATGTGAATGATAATATAATATATATATATTATATATATATATATATATATATATATATATATATATATATATAGCGCTGCGTAAATTGATGGCGCTATACAAGTACCTGAAATAAATTGGATATCCAATTAAGCAGGCCCTTGCACTACATAGTTGAAGGTAAATCTAAAGGAAATTGGGCAGAAATTGAACAGAAAATTGTATATTGTATGGCCAGCCGTAAGCTAGTTACACATAGAACAAAAACTTCAAAACTTCAATCAGCAGCTTGCAGTCAATTAGCCGCATGGATGATCGTTGTATTGATTCCTGCATCCATCTCCTCAGTGGATGCAGTAATCTGTTATTTTTGGTTCAGCCTGCTTGTTGAAGTAAAAAAAAAAACACAAACACACACAACTGTGCGCACCCAAGCTTAAAGCATTCCCCTTTGCTCCTCCGCCAGCTGCTACTTAAATGCTTAGATAGAGAGGTGAAAGAAAAGGTAGAGGAGCTGGGCCGGCAAAGACAGAAATTAGACACTCCCAGGAAGGAGAGGATTATGACCTCTAAAGGAGGGAGAGAGGGTGACTGTTCTAGAAAAATTGACCACTCTGGAGTAGTCAAGATTTCTAGCAAGTTCAAAAGGCACAATGCATCTCTCGTCCATTAAGGGACATGTGATTCTTAAACGTCTGGTTTGAGGATTATACACTTGCCAAAAAAAACAAGGCTTTATCAGGGAATAAAACACTTCCCATAACCAGGATGGGGAAAAAAAAAAAAAGTTATAAACAAGTATTTAAAATCAAGGAAAAAAAAAATTACACTGCATCTGTCCCCCACCGTTTCCAAAACTAAGAACTGAATGATCAAAGACTGCTGATCGTTCAGTTCTCAGCCTTCAGGAAGCTCACTGGAGCAAAGAGCTGAGGAGGGGGAGGCAGAGACTGGGTCAGGCTCTCAGCGGTTCACAGAGGCTGAGCCAGATGCCAGTCCAGGCTTCTGGGTGGATCCCGACCATATGCTCCATATGGTAGTGTCTGGACTGGCTGAGAGACATCAGCAGGCAGCAGAGTTTAGCAGAACAAACTGCCTTCCTGAGATCTATGGATGTATAGCCAAAAGAGATTTGGCCTTACTTCTTTAGGAAACAAATCAGTTACATTTTACATCTACTTTAGTATAATCAATGTCACAGGCCAAAAAAAAAAAAGAAATCAAAACCGCATAAAATGGAAATATTTATAATAATGGAAGTACATTCCGGTCACTTACTGATCTTCCGTTCCAAAAAACTTGACAAACAAGCATTTTTTGCCACGTGGCTTCTTTAAATCTTTAGGTGGGTTGACAATCTGAAAAAGAAAGAAAACAGTTTTTTGGTTTTTTTTTAAATGAAGGTTCTCACATGAAGAGCTCATTACCAGAGCCACCATTCCAAGGCTCATTATCAAGGCTTGTACTTTGTAGTCAATGTGCCCTCCAATAGTCTGCAGAAATGACAATGCCTGTGCCATCATTTCCATAGATATGGTTCTGTAAAATAGTAATCTGCCAGAACAATGCTTAAAGCGGAGTTCCACTCACACTGTCAAAAAATAAAAAAAAAGTCAGCAGCTGCAAAAACTGTAGCTGCTGACTTTTAAAAAAACAGCCACTTACCTGTCCCTCGGTGCCGCGATGTGTCCCCCGCAACCCGATTTACCGGCTGTCTTCTCTCCCTGGCGCCGGCATCTTCAGTGTGGGCACCCGGCTGTGACAGCTTGCAGATTCACAGCCGGGTGCCAACTGCGCATGCGCGAGTAGCGCTGCACTTCGTGAATGGTCCTGTAGTCTTCTGGGACCTGTCATGTGTCCAGAAGACTACAAGGAGGGAGGGATGGAGGACAACTTCCGCTTACAATTGCCTAGGCCTGTGGTTCTCAACCTGTGGGTCGCGACCCCTTTGGGGGTCGAACAACCCTTTCACAGGGGTCGCCTAAGACCATCGGAAAACACATATTTCCGATGTGTAAAGAGCAGCTACTGTGTAGAAAGCAGCTGCTGTGTTGAAAGCAGCTGTTAAAAGCAGCTACTGTGTTGAAAGCAGCAGTATTGGAGGTAAAACGACACTCATGAATTATAATTACTGGGTAAATAATTTTATGGTTGGGGGTCACCACAACATGAGGAACTGTATTAAAGGGTCGCGGCATTAGGAAGGTTGAGTACCACTGGCCTAGGCGATCGGAGCAGAACTGAGAGCGGGTACCTGTCAAATTCAGGTACCCGCCCCCCCCAAAGGTGCCAATCCTTAACAGGGAGCGGGGGACCAGTCTTTAAAGAGAAACTTCCCCTTTTGGGTGGAACTCCACTTTAAGTTGAGAGATTGAGCCTAAAGCCTTGACAATCCAAAATATAATGTACACATTTGGAAAGGGAACCAGGCGTGTGGCTCTGGGCAGACGTGAAGAGTGAGTTCAGCTATTCAGCTCAGCCTGCATCTGATGATTTTACAAGCTTGTGGAGTTTTATTCATTTTCTACACGATAGAAATGTGTGACCTCCATTACCTTTAAAAGGGACAGATCCCTAGTTCTAGTTTGGCATTCTATTGAAAGTTCAAAAGGTGTCTGATTACTATCACATGGTCGCGGATTGAAAAAAAGTGAAGAATCCTTCTGTCTACTTGTTATTACTAAGTGCATTTTCATGGGCTGGGAGGTGAGAGTTCTGTGAGCACCGAGGTGGCACTACTTGTATAATGCAGGCTGTTTCACTTGATGGTGTTTGGGATATCAGTACAAGAAGAAATACACATGAATTTTTGAAGAACTTTATCAGCGAATAAAAATTGATTGATTTCACATATATGGACGTTTTGATCAGTTTTACATAGTTACATAGTTATTCTGCCTGGAAAAAAAAAAGTCCATCCAGTTCAACCATCAAAAAAAAAAAAAAGTTATAATCCTATACCCACAGTTGATCCAGAGGAAGACAAAAAAAAAAAAAAAACAACCCAGCAAAGCATGATCCAATTTGCTCCTGCAGGGGAAAAAAAATTCCTTCCTGATACCCGAGAGGCAATCGGATATTCCCTGGATCAACTTTACCTATAAATGTTATATCCAGTTATATTCTGTGTATCCAAGAAAGAATTCAGGACTTTTTTAAAGCAATCCACTGAGCTGGACACAACCAACTCTTGAGGGAGTCTATTCCACATTTTCACAGCTCTTACTGTGAAGAAGCCTTTCCATGTTTGGAGATTAAATTTCTTTTCCTCCAGACGTAAAGAGTGCCCCCTTGTCCTCTGTGATGACCTCAGGGGGAATAACTCTACACCGAGTTCACTATATGAACCACTGATGTATTTATACATGGAGATCATATCCCCCCTTATGTATTATACATGGAGATCATATCCCCCCTTATGTATTATACATGGAGATTATACATGGAGATCATATCCCCCCTTATGTATTATGGACATATGTATTATACATGGAGATCATATCCCCCTTATGTATATCCCCCCCTTATGTATTATACATGGAGATCATATCCCCCCCCTTATGTATTATACATGGAGATCATATCCCCCCCTTATGTATTATACGTGGAGATCATATCCCCCCTTATGTATTATACATGGAGATCATATCCCCCCTTATGTATTAGATACCCCCCTTATGGAGATCATATCCCCCCTTATGTATTATACATGGAGATCATATCCCCCCCTTATGTATTATACATGTGATCATATCCCCCCTTATGTATTATACATGGAGATCATATCCCCCCTTATATTATACCCCCCCCTTATGTATTATTTGGTGATCATATCATGTATTATACATGGTGATCATATCCCCCCTTATGTATTATACATATGGAGATCATATCCCCCCCTTATGTATTATACATGGAGATCATATCCCCCCATGGAGATCATATCCCCCCCTTATTTATTATACATGGAGATCATATCCCCCCCCCTTATGTATTATACATGGAGATCATATCCCCCCTTATGTATTATACATGGAGATCCCCCCCCTTATGTATTATACATGGAGATCATATCCCCCTTGGAGATCATATCCCCCCCTTATGTATTATACATGGAGATCATATCCCCCTTATGTATTATACATGGAGATCATATCCCCCCTTATGTATTATACATGGAGATCATATCCCCCCTTATGTATGGAGATCATATTATGTATATACATGGAGATCATATCCCCCCTTATGTATTATACATGGAGATCATATCCCCCATTATGTATTTATAAATGATTATCATGAGTTTTGTCCTCATGGTCTTTTAATTTATAGTTGCCTTATAGCAGTGCAACATCACTTGTTTTATTTATCTTTATTGTGGGAACACAATTTGATGGTAGCAGCAGCCATCATTGTCACATTCATTACACTTTGTCCTATTATTTAGGCAGCGCAGGGGTTTCAATTTATTACAGTTTTTGTAGCTGCCGACTTTTTTAAATTTTGCCTGGAGCTCCGCTTTAACTGTGGTGGCCTCATTAGTTTTTTTTTTTCCTTTTACTTTCACCTGGTATCCAGCCACTAATAACACTTCTGCTCAAGGGTGACAACATTCACTCACTATACTGTATCTAATGAGCAGCAGCATTGTCACCCCTCTTCTCCATAACATGGGGAAGGTGAAGGGTGTTCTGTAGTCCACAGAGATCACTGCGAACAATGCTAACTAGGAAGAGTGGAAAGCACAGGAAGTAAACAGGCCAAATATTTGCAGAATCAACAGGCATTTTTGCACTTATTGGACAGATAGAACAAAACTCTTTCAATGGAAGATTAAACAGAGTAAAAATAAATAAATACAACTTTCTAGGTTTCAGACAGGAAGTGAGAAGGACCAGTCAGGTTTTTATTATTGTCTGTGCCACCATTGAGGTGATTCGTCCTCTCCATTTGTACTGGTGACCATTGTCACAGAGATATATATATATATATATATAGATATATATATATATATATATATATATATATATAGCACACACACATATACACACAATTTTAGAGTTGGAAGCAAAAATAAATAAGTCACAGATGTAAAAGTAATCTCCAGTCCCCCATTCACTCACCTTTCCAGGCCAGGGAGGATACCGGCCCAATTTCCCCCTAAAAAGAAAATACAAAGGAGAATCAAATATAGAATGTTAGGAGAGGGTAAAACCATTTATATAAATGTAAAAGTATGAGGGATTATCACTGGCAACCCCAAACCTACAGAAATGCTAAAATAGTTTGAGATCAAAAATGAAACTAACCCCTCCGATCTTTTAGAGCGAAGGAAGCTGCAATCTTGGCTTCGGTTTGATCTGTAATTGCCATCGTGCTGCACATGTGATCAGTTATGACACCAGCCGTTTGATGGCTTGGCAGTTCGGTTGAGTGCAAAAGCAACTGTGCCGGCTATCTTTTGCAGAAAGCCTCGATCGTAACCGTTTTTTGGGAAATGGTTAAAGCAGAACTACACTTAGCTTGGATCCAACTAGTGGTGCACGGAAATGAAAATTCTGGTGCCGAAACCGAAAATTCAAAATGCACTTGGCCAAAAACCGAAACGTGCAGTTTTTAAAAATGAATATATATGTTTTGGAAAAAAATACACTTTGATTAATATATATATATATATATATATATATATATATATATATATATATATATATATACAACCCCCATTTTTTTCTAAAATATGAGAAGATGTTACGGCGAGTAAATAGATACCAAACATGTCAAGCTTTAAAATTGCGCATGCTCATGGAATGGCGTGAAACTGAGGTACTTAAAAATCTCCATGGGTGATGCTTTAAAAATTACTACAGGTTAGCAGTGTAAAAGGTACAGAGGTGGTTTAGTGCGAGAATTATTGCTCTTGTTCTGACATTCGTGGCGATACCTCACATTTGTGGTTTGAACACCATTTACATATGTGGGCATGGCCTACGTATGCGTTCACCACTACATGCGAGCATGGGGGGACAGGGGCACTTTAAAAAAAAAAAAATGATTTAAATTGTTTGTTTTTTTTTGCACTGTCCCTTTACAAAATTTTTTTTATCACTTTTATTCTTATCACAAGAAATGCATGCATCCTGTGTGATAGAAATAATTAGTGACAGGTCCTCTTTATGGAGAGATATGGGGTCAACAAGATCCCACATCTCTCTTCTACAATGTAAAGCATTGGTTTAAAAAAAAAAAAAAATTGATCTGGTGCTTTCAAAAGAAAATGGCCAGAATGGGAAGTGACCGCTCAGGTACTCCAAGGGCATAGAGATGAGTGGCAGCCATCTTTCCTTCACTCATCTCTATGCCCAGTGCCGGGATCGATGGTTTCTCAGGTAAGACTGAGAACTACCGAGCGGCGGCCGGTGCAGCAGTGGTGAGGGGTGGCGGTGACAGCGAGGTTTTTTTCTCCACCTGTATCTGTGCTTTTTTCATTTCGACCAATGGCCGAAAGGGGTGTTTTTGGCCGAAACTCCAGTGCATCCCTAAATCCAACAATGCAGTATCCCAAACCTCCCAGCCAAGCTGCTGACATCTTCGGGCAGCCAGCTTCAGGGCTTTGATCGCCAGCAGGTCACTCCAACTAATTCGGCATTGCCGGGTGGACAGGCAGGTAGGTAACTTTATATAAACACAAATGTCTCTTCTGCATTAACATTCCTCCACGATCGCCCTTTACTGAATTTTGTATCTGAAGTTCCTCTTTAAATTGATCTGTTTAGTTCTGCTGTAACAAGAAGACATCAAACCCTACAACAGCTGCTAAAAAGACACCAAGATTACTAAATGGCTTTCACCAAGTTTTACGTTCAAATCTACCACTTCCTGTTGACAGAAGGACTTTTATTACGCATTCTACAAAACGTACTGGTCTTATCGATGATTGGCCTATAAATAACCCAAACACATTTAAAAAGGAAACTATTGGACCGATGGAATTATTAAAGATGCTCTTTAAAAGTGCAATGCTAGATCCCCAGCGCTAGATCCCCAACGCTAGAAACCCCAGCGCTAGAAACCCCAGCGCTAGAAACCCCAGCGCTAGATTCCCCAGCGCTAGAAACCCCGCTAGAAACCCAACGCTAGATTCCCCAGCGCTAGATTCCCCAGCGCTAGAATCCCCAACGCTAGATTCCCCGCTAGATTCGCTAGATTCCCCAGCGCTAGATTCCCCAGCGCTAGATTCCCCAGCTAGATTCCCCAACGCTAGAATCCCCAACGCTAGAATCCCCAACGCTAGAATCCCCAACGCTAGAATCCCCAACGCTAGAATCCCCAACGCTAGAATCCCCAACGCTAGAATCCCCAACGCTAGAATCCCCAACGCTAGAATCCCCAACGCTAGAATCCCAACGCTAGATTCCCCAACGCTAGAATTCCCCAACGCTAGAATCCCCAACGCTAGAATCCCCAACACTAGAATCCCCAACACTAGAATCCCCAACACTAGAATCCCCATTGATCACTGAAGAGATCAAAGATAGAAATAAGAGGTATTCTCTTTCTACAAGGAACACAGTAACCCATAACAGAAAGGCCACGGGTATGACTGCACTAGAGAACCTGGAAAGTCACCGCCCCACCTTATCCAATCATAAAAGGCAAAGCATCCTCTAATGGCACCTGTACCAAGTGGCCAACCTCCTGTGCTCAAAATGCATCAAGCCAGCCACTCAAAGGACTAGAAGCAAGTAGAGATGACTAGTAGTGTCTACTTCAGCGATTTCCAGCTTCCAGGGGCATTGGCCAGATATGGTATATACATACAGCGGATATAAAAAGTCTTCACACCCCTGTTACAATGTCAGGTTTCTGTGATGTAAAAAAAATGAGACAAAGATAAATCATTTCAGAACCTTTTCTACCTTTAAATGTGACCTATAAACTGTACAAATCAGTTGAACAACAAACTGAAATCTTTTAGGTGGAGGGAAGTAAAAATAAAAAACAAATAATATGGCTGCATAAATGTGCACACCCTTACACTAATCCTTTGTTGAAGCCCTTTTTGATGTGATTCCAGCACTCAGTCTTTTAGGGGAGGAGTCTATCAGCATGGCACATCTTGACTTGGCAATATTTGCCCGCTCTTCCAAATCTGTCAGATTGCGAGGACATCTCCTGTGCACAGCCCTCTTCAGATCCTTCCACAGATTTTCAAATTCAGGTCTAGGCTGTGGCTGGGCCATTCCAAACCTTTCATCTTTTTCCGGTGAAGCCATTCCTTTGTTGATTTGGATGTACGCTTTGGGTCGTTGTCATGCTGAAAGATGAAGTTCCTCTTCATGTTCAGCTTTCTAGCAGAAGCCGGAAGATTGTGCCAATATTGACTGGTATTTGGAACTGTTCATAATTCCCTCTACCTGGTCTAAGGCCCCAGTTCCAGTTGAAGAATAACAGCCCCAAAGCATGATGCTGCCACCACCATGCTTCACAGTGGGTATGGTGTTCCTTTGGTGATGTGCAGTGTTGTTTTTGCGCAAAACATATCTTTTGGAATTCTGTCCAAAAAAGTTCAACCTTGGTTTCATCAGACCAGAACACATTTTCCCACGCGCTTTTGGGAGACTTCAGATGTGTTTTGGCAAAATTTAGCCACACTTGGATGTTTTTCTCTGTAAGAAAAGGCTTCCGTCTTGCCACTCTACCCCAGAGCCCAGACATATGAAGAATACGGGAGATTGTTGTCACATGGAGCACACAGTCAGTACTTGCCAGATATTCCTGCAGCTCCTTTAAATGTTGCTGTAGGCCTCTTGGCAGCCTCCCAGACCAGTCTTCTTCTCGTCTTTTCAATTTTGGAGGGACGTCCAGTTTCTGGTGATGTCACTGTTGCACCATATTTTCTTCACTTGATGATGACTGTCTTCACTGTTCCATTGTATATATAATGCCTTGGAAATTCCTTTTGTACCCTTCTCCTGACCGATACCTTTTAACAATGAGATCCCTCTGATGCTTTGAAAGCTCTCTGCAGACCATGGCTTTTGCTGTAGGATGCGACTAAGAAAATGTCAAGACCTACTAGAACAGCTGAACTTTATTTGGGGTTAATCAGAGGCACTTTAAATGATGGCAGGTGTGTACTGACTCCTATTTAACATGATTTTGAATGTGATTGCTTAATTCTGAACACAGCTACATACAGTTATAAATAGGGTGTGCACACTTAAGCAACCACATTATTTTAGTTTTTTTATGTCGTTCCCCCCCCCCCCCAAAAAAAAAAAAATGTGTTTGTTTTTCAATGGAGTTGTACAGTTTATAGGTCACATTTAAGGTGGACAAAGTTCTGAAATTATTCATCTTTGTCTCATTTTTTTTTACATCACGGAAACCTGATATTTTAACAGGGGTGTGTACACTTTTTATTTCCACTGTACTTACCTTGGACCAAGCTGGACCTATAGAAAAATATCCATACATGGAATTCTTCTTTAAACACTAGATCTTCTCATGTTTCAATTCTTTTCTTTTTTTGTACTAAGTGGCTATGTGTGACCCACTACTACTAGGATTTACTGTCAAATTTCCAATGAAGCCTTCCCCAATTTTTTTTCTTAGAGTAACTTGGGTCTTACATCATCAGGGCAGCACGGTGGCTAAATGGTTAGCACTTCCGCCTGGCAGTACTAGGGTGATTGGTTCAAATCCCAGCCACGGCACCACCTGCCTGGAGTTTGCATGTTCTCCCTGTGCCTGCGTGGGTTTCCTCCGGGTATTCCAGTTTCCTCCCACACTCCAAATACATGCTGGTAGGTTAATTGGCTTCTGTCTAAATTGGCCCTACTATGTGTATGTATGAATGTGAGTTAGGGACCTTAGATTGTACGCCCCTTGCCCCCTTAGATTGTACGTTGAGGGTTAGGGACCTTAGATTGTACGCCCCTTGAGGGTTAGGGACCTTAGATTGTACGCCCCTTGAGGGTTAGGGACCTTAGATTGTACGCCCCTTGAGGGTTAGGGACCTTAGATTGTACACCCCTTGAGGGTTAGGGACCTTAGATTGTACACCCCTTGAGGGTTAGGGACTGATTTGAATGTACAATATATATGTAAAGCGCTGAGTAAATTGACGGCGCTATATAAAGTACCTGAAATAAATACATCAACACAATTTTCTTATTCAATTTCCTTTAGATTTACCTTTAACTATGTAGTGTAAAGGCCTGTCTGACTGCATACAAATTGAAAGGGTTTAGGTTTGACCTCATATTATATGGTTTTGGGGAATCCAAAAAAAAATTGTACAATATATGGCCAGCCTTGGGGAACTCTTTAAAAGCATTTAACACCCTGGACTGCTCTATATAATAATATTTTCTGTAGAAGTGAAACTAAATAAGTAATAGCCAGAAAAGAAATGACCATTGGTGGTCAGTGGGAGAAGGACCACCTTTTATATTGGTGACCAGTGAAAAGAACTCCTCCCTTTTATAGATGGCTAAAAAGCTCAGTAGTGTCAGTGGTTTTTTTATTTTAGAAACTCTACAGCACCCTTTCTCAAATGGGGTTCTTCAAAGTTTTCCTAAAACCTAAGATGGCAGTCAAAAAGACAGAATACCCTCAGCTGTGAACCTGACTGACATAAATATACACACTTGTATTGGCTGAACATGTAGATCTCTAACAGTCCTGCTGGGGATTTGTCTGGTCTCAATGAAAAAATTGGAACTTGTGAGAAATATCCAAGTTTCTCGGGAGTTCAGTTGATCAGCGGTGCTTGTTGAAGTTGTGGCCTGACCAGGGGCGGACTGACCATTTGGAAACTCGGGCACTGCCCAAGGGCCCGGGGTCAGTAGGGGGGCCCCATGAGATGCCCCTGGTACCTTTTTCATAGGCTTTTTTGAGTTTGGGCAAGGACACAGGGGCCCCATGATCCCCTATTTCCCGGGGGCCCCATGAGCTGTCAGCCCGCCCCTGGGCCTGACCAAAGCTGCAAGAATTCTCCAGATAGGACTAATTGGAAGGACGGACCAATCATTGTTCCACATCTATGGGCTTAAACTTCAGAATGTAGTGGAGGGCACAGCTGCCTTTGTTGGATCCCAAGGTCTCTCTATCACTCAATTCAGAAAATTGCGGAACAGACAGGCCTGGGGATCCCCATAGCAGATCCCACTTACCCAAAAGACACAAAGAACGTTTATTACCAGATGCAGCCTAGGTGCGAGTGGTTGTTTAACCTGATCCTACCCCATACCATCACACCAGTTATTGGATCTCTTATGGCTCAATATTTTTGACACATTGGGGTTTATTTACTAAAGCTGGACAATGCAAAACCAGGCTCACTTCTGCACCAATCTGCTTCTAACCTCAGCTTGTTCAATTAAGCTTTGGCAATAAAACCTGGAAGCTGATTGGTTTCTATGCAGAAGTGACCCTGATTTTGCACTCTCCTGCTTTAGTAAATAAACCCCATTATGCCCCTAGATACAAGACAAGATCCCTTCATGCCATCAGAATCCATCCTCTCTAAATTCCCAACAACAAACAAGAAACAACCTTCTCTTTTCCATGCTTCATTCTTTTAAGGCAGCCTACATGATATTTTAGTCACCTTTACCAGCAGAAGATCCCACAAATGACCTCAAATCCTCTTCAACCCCAGAAATGCCCTGATACCGAATAGCTAAGCATGAGCTCCTTGCTAGATCTTCTGATCCAGATTATCTTAAAGCCCCTTACATTGTCTATGAACTTACCAGAAATTATCCCATCCCAAGTATATAAACAAGAATCCTAGACACACCACTGTAGAACCCCATTACCTGATCCTCCCTCCAACCCACCAGACACCATCCTCTCAAAATTTCCAAAACAGAATTACTTTGACAATCCTCCCCAGAGGCCTCCAACCCACCAAAGCCCCATCCTCCCCCCAGAGGCCTCCAACCCACCAAAGCCCCATCCTCCCCCAGAGGCCTCCAACCCACCAAAGCCCCATCCTCCCCCAGATGCCTCCAACCCACCAAAGCCCCATCCTCCCCCAGATGCCTCCAACTCACCAAAGCCCCATCCTCCCCCAGATGCCTCCAACCCACCAAAGCCCCATCCTCCCCCAGATGCCTCCAACCCACCAAAGCCCCATCGTCCCTCAGATGTCTCCAACCCACCAAAGCCCCATCGTCCCTCAGATGTCTCCAACCCACCAAAGCCCCATCGTCCCTCAGATGTCTCCAACCCACCAAAGCCCCATCGTCCCCCAGATGCCTCCAACCCACCAAAGCCCCATTGTCCCCAGATGCCTCCAACCCACCAAAGCCCCATCGTCCCCAGGTGCCTTTAACCCACCAAAGCCCCATCATCCCCAGATGCCTCCAACCCACCAAAGCCCCATTCTCCCCCAGATGCCTCCAACCCACCAAAGCCCCATCGTCCCCAGATGCCTCTAACCCACCAAAGCCCATCCTCCCCCAGATGCCTCCAACCCACCAAAGCCCCATCGTCCCCAGATGCCTCCAACCCACCAAAGCCTCATCCTTCCCCAGATGCCTCCAACCCACCAAAGCCCCATCGTCCCCAGATGCCTCCAACCCACCAAAGCCCCATTCTCCCCCAGATGCCTGCAACACATCAAACCCCAGCCTCCCCAGGTCCCTCCCAACTCCATCCTCCCAAGCTCCTTTCAACCCAACGAACTCCATCCTCCCCAGATCCCTTCAACCCAACATACACCATTTTCCCTGACCCCAAAACCAGATCCCTGCTACTTTCCAGATACCATTCTGCCCTGATACACACTATATCAGATCCCTTCAACCAACCCACCAAACACAATCCTTCCCTGAAAAACATCCTCTCCAGATCCCTCCAACCAACTAATTTTTCTATGACCCCCCCACCTTTTCCTGCAACCTTCCAAAAACCATTCTCCCCTGATCCCCAATACCAGATATCTTTAACCCACTAGGCACAATCCTATCTTGATCTCTCCAACCCACCAGACGCCATCCTCCCCCAATCGCCACCACCGGGTCCCTCCAACCCACCAGACGCCATCCTCCCACAATCGCCACCACCGGGTCCCTCCAACCCACCAGACGCCATCCTCCCCCAATCGCCACCACCGGGTCCCTCCAACCCACTAGACGCCATCCTCCCCCAATCGCCACCACCGGGTCCCTCCAACCCACTAGACGCCATCCTCCCCCAATCGCCACCACCGAATCTCTTCAAACCACCAGATGCCATCCTCCCCCGATCGCCACCACCGGATCCTTCCAACCCACCAGACACCATCCTCCCCCAATCACCACCACCGGATCCCTCTAACCCGCCAGACCCCATCCTCCCCTGATCCCCAATACCAGATCCCTCCAGACACCATCCTCCCCTGATCCCCAATACCAGATCCCTCCAGACGCCGTCCTCCCCTGATCCCCATACCAGATCCCTCCAGACGCCGTCCTCCCCCCTGATCCCAATACCAGATCCCTCCAGACGCCGTCCTCCCCTGATCCCCAATACCAGATCCCTCCAGACACCATCCTCACCTGATCCCCAATACCAGATCCCTCCAGACGCCGTCCTCCCCCGATCCCCAATACCAGATCCCTCCAGACACCATCCTCACCTGACCCCCCCCCCAATCAGGGATCCCTCCAACCTAGTAGTCACCATGATCCCCACCATCAGATCCCTCACCCCCCATGCGCAGTGTCAGCCATGCCTCCCCCCTGTAATCCCTGTCTGGAGCAGAGTCTCCCCCCCATGTGTTCCCATCACTCACCACACCAGGTCTCCTTGGCGTAGACTCGCTGTCGCCATCTTACCGACACAGGCAGAGCGGGGAGGAGGCGGGGGATAGGAAGAGAGAGAGAAGTGCCTGCGCGAAGGATGCCGGGAACAGGAAACACCCCCACCCGCCTTCCGTGCGCGCACCCCTAACGCCAAGGACCACCACGTGACCGGCCTCCAGCCAATGAACCCCGCCTTCCCCGGGACTCTATTCCAGCCAATAAGTAAAAGCGAGAAGGTAAGCGAGAGCAGCTCCCGCCCAGTTATCGCGGGATGAAAGCGCGTGCCCGAGTCCCCCCGTATCAGATTGGCCTGCCGGGTCACGTGAGTCGGCTGTCAGCGCTTGTTATTGTTGTCGTCCTCTTCCCTGGAGGAGGGGTGCGTCACGTGACTCCAGAGGGGGAGCTCTGAGGCTGCTCCGGACCACGTGACCGCTCGGCTTTCTGACGTTTCTCTCTCGGCGCCTTTTCCGTCCTGTGACCGGAGGAATGCGGAGCGAGGAGGGCTGAGGTGAGTGAGCCGCTACACCGGCTCCGGAGGGTGTCCTGTGTCTGGGTGCGCGCACTCTTCGGGAGAACTTCCGGGTAGGGGAGCTCCCCCGTGTCTAGGTTCTGGTGGACTAATCCCTCCCCCCCGGTGCTGCCTGTAATGGAACGACCTGGGGCTATTCTAAATGAGGGCTCGCTGTGAAGGCGGGATGGTGGTAACCCATAGCAACAGTCACTTGTTATCTAGTACCGGATTGGCTGAGGTTTCTACATCTCCCAGCCAATATCTGTTACCTTCCTGTGCCAAGTGTCTGAAATGAGAACTGTCTGTGCCAGGGGCGGACTGACAACTCATGGGGCCCCCGGGCAATAGGGGGGGCCCCTGTGTCCTTGCCCATCATGAAAAGGGTACCAGGGGCATCTCATGGGGCCCCCTACTGACCCCGGGCCCTCGGGCAGTGCCTGAGTTTCCAAATGGTCAGTCCACCCCTGGTCTGTGCTGCGCCTTGAATGGAACGGTTGGTTGTCCTAACACAGATTTCTCCTCCTTATGAGTTATAAAATGCCAGTTTGCGGAGTGCCCCCTTAAGACGCCATGTAGAGGCCTGCGTCTGATGACTGAGGCGCGCCATTCTAGTAATATGGGAGACGCCGTGGATGACTAGATTATATAAGGCCCCCATGGTCCAAAAAAAATTCAGAAAAGGTTTGCGTGTTTTTTTTTTTTTTTGTGACCAATCAGATGTGACTGGACACAAGTCGGCGTCCGTAGATAAACGGCCCTGTTGAATAATACCCTTTCTGTAGGTAAGTCCTTTGTGAAGCCTGGCTGAAAAACTCCCAGAGATGGCACCGTCCAGTCCTGCCTTGTTGCTAGGACGTTGCTAAGACACTCCCAGCTGATTTATAAATACTGTATAATAATAATAATTTATACCCCCTCATGTGCGCTCTTTCTCTCTCCTTTCGCAGGGGCTTTGAGCTCAGCGATGCTGCGATAAAGGAGATAGAGGACCGTGCATGTGCAGGGGTATAAGAGCTCACTCCTGTGATGGATGTGGTGAGCAGTGACGGCTGGTAGTGTCTTAGCAACGTCCTAGCAACATGGCAGGATAGTATGATTCCACCTCTGGGAGTTTTTCATCCAGACTACAAGAGATACATAAATGGCCTACTCCTATAGAACGGGTATTATCCAACTTTAGTCAATGAAGCTCAGCTTGTTTTTAATCTACAGGCACCCCTTCCCTCCATAGACAGTTGTTTATGGTAAAGGTGAACTCACTTCAAAAAATTATAACAAAAGGCAAAACTGATTACCCCCATAGCAAGGCGCTCTAATGACACACAAAGCATGGCGTGACCCCGCCCCCCACGCTCCTCACTGCCTGTGATTGACAGAAGTAGGAGCCACTGGCTCCCAGTGCTGCCTCAGGCAATGAGGAGGGAGAGAGCCACTGCTCTTGCACATCGCTGGATTGGGCTCAGGTAAGTATACAGTGCCTTGAAAAAGTATTCATACCCCTTGAAATTTTCCACATTTTTTCATGTTGCACCAAAAACGTCAATGTATTTTATTGGGATTTGATGCGATAGACCAACACAAAGTGGCACATAATTGTGAAGTGGAAGGAAAATGATTAATGGTTTTCAAACGTTTTTACAAATAAATATGTGAACAGTGTGACATGCATTGGTATTCAGCCCTGTTTACTCTGATACCCCTAACTAAAATCTAGTGGAATTAATTGCCTTCAGAAGTCACCTAATTAGTAAGTAGAGTCCACCTGTGTGTAATGTAATCTCAGTATAAATACAGCTGTTCTGTGAAGCCCTCAGAGGTTTATTCGAGAACATTATTGAACAAACAGCATCATGAAGGCCAAGGAACACACCAGACAGGTCAGGGATAAAGTTGTGGAGAAGTGTAATGCAGGGTTAGGTTATAAAAAAATATCCCAAGCTTTGAGTATCTCACAGAGCACTGTTCAATCTATCATCTGAAAATGGAAAGAGTATGACAACTGCAAACCTACCAAGACATGGCTGTCCACCTAAACTGACAGGCCGGGCAAGGAGAGCATTCAGCAGAGAAGCAGCCAAGAGGCCCATGGGAACTCTGGAGGAGCTGCAGAGATCCACAGCTCAGGTGGGAGAATCTGTCCACAGGGAAACTATTAGTTGTGCGCTCCACAAATCTGGCCTTTATGGAAAAGTGGCAAGAAGAAACCATTGTTGGAGGAAAGCCATAAGAAGTCCTGTTTGCAGTCTGTGAGAAGCCATGTGGGGGGCACAGCAAACATGGAAGAAGGGGCTCTGGTCAGAGGAGACCAAAATTAAACTTTTTGGTCTAAAAGTAAAACGCTGTGTGTGGCGGAAAACGAACACTGCACATCATCCTGAACACACCATCCCCACCGTGAAACATGGTGGTGGCAGCATCATGTGGTGGGGATGCTTTTCTTCAGCAGGGACAGGGAATCTGGTCAGAGCTGATGGGAAGATGGATGGAGCCAAATACAGGGCAATCTTAGAAGAAAACCTGTTAGTCTGCAAAAGACTTGAGACCGGGGCGGAGGTTCCCCTTCCAGCAGGACAATGACCCGAAACATCCAGCCAGAGCTACAATGGAATGGTTTAGATCAAAGCATATTCCTGTGTTAGAATGGCCCAGTCACAGTCCAGACCGAAATCCAATGGAGAATCTGTGGCAAGACTTGAAATTGCTGTTCCCAGGCGCTCTCCATCCAATCTGACAGAGCTTGAGCGATTCTGCAAAGAAGAATGGGAAGAAATGTCCCTCTCTAGATGTGCAAAGAGACATCCCCAAGGAGACTTGCAGCTGGAATTGCAACAAAAGGGGGTCCTACAAAGTATTGACTCTGGGGGGCTGAATACAAATGCCGCCACACTTTTCACAGATTTATTTTGTAAAAAATGTTGAAAACCATTTCTCATTTTCCTTCCACTTCACAATTATGTGCCACTTTGTGTTGGTCTATCGCATCAAATCCCAATGAAATACATTGACGTTTTTGGTTGTAACATGACAAAGTGAGGAAAATTTCAAGGGGTGTGAAGACTTTTCATGGGGGGGGGGGGGGGCGGCTGAATACAGAAAGCCTTTTACCTGAATGTTAAAAAACAAAAAAAACAAAAAACCCTTCAGCCTTTAGAAGCACTTTCTGGCCTCGTTCACACTTGTCTGTTTCTGTGGGTTGTGTTATTATGCATTACATTGCGGCAGCCCATTGGTTTTAAATGGGCTGTCAGTGCACAGAAGCAGACTTGCTTTTGCAGCCGCACCACCCGCACAGAGAATTGCGGACCTGCGGGTGAGTGCCATTAGTTCTAATGGCACGCCGCCCGCACTGGAAAACGCAACCGTACTGGGAACCAAGGTTTCCGTGCGGGCTGCGTTTTTCAAAGAAGTGCAGGGACTTCTTTCCCTGCGTTTCACGGCCACAGGAGGCCATTCAAATGAATGGGCTCTCGTGCCCGAGCAAAACGTGGCCCGCATGGCCGCATAGATGTGAACCGGGGGTGATGCAGTGTAATGTGCTGCCTTGCCGTGTGCACTGCTGCAACGCACGTCATTCAGAGCTGCCTCGCCTTCTTGTGTTGGGGTGCCATTCAGAATGACACCATTAGGCGCAAATGCACGCAACATGTCTTGTATGCATTACTGCAACACATCGCAAAACTGTACTAGCCATAAATACCAACGCTAGCTTAAAGAACGACTAACCATTAAAGGATAAGTTCACCTTTTAGACAAAAATAATAAATGCACATATTTTTGTAGGTAAGAAAATGCGCATTTGTTATTTTTTGTCTACAGGAGCCTGGAAAGCATTGCACCAGTGATCAGTAGATTGCTGGTGCCATGCACGTCTCCTGCAGACCTGTCAAAATATCTGCTTGGCCATTCAGAGATGTACGAACAAGCAGATTTTCTGACAGGAAGAATCAACTACTACAGCGTTCCACAACGCCATGGTAGTCCATTGACTGCTACAAGCTGACAGCCGCTAAGGCTGCCGGGACTTGTAGTTCATTCATTCACAGAAGTCCGTGAATGAATGACGCAGCCGTGTGGGTGGAGCCCAACACGGTTGCGCTGTTTTCAAATCTGGCAGTTCCCCGTACTATTTGTCAGAGGGAGGGAGGGGGGGCAGGTGGCGGTGACTGCAGCTATGGGAACATATTAAAAACGATTGTAACATGTTCCCAAAAGTGTTCCCAAAGTTTTACTAAACCCAGGACACTGCATTGGACTTATCTGGTTAAAGTTTTACTATATCCAGGACACTGCATTCACTATATCTGGTCTCCCCGGACCCTGCATTCACTATATCTGGTCTCCCCGGACCCTCCCCGCATTCGCTATATCTGGTCTCCCCGGACCCCGCATTCGCTATATCCGGTCTCCCCGGACCCCGCATTCGCTATATCCGGTCTCCCCGGACCCCGCATTCGCTATATCCGGTCTCCCCGGACCCCGCATTCGCTGTATCCGCTCTCCCCGGACCCCGCATTCGCTGTATCCGCTCTCCCCGGACCCCGCATTCGCTGTATCCGCTCTCCCCGGACCCCGCATTCGCTGTATCCGCTCTCCCCGGACCCCGCATTCGCTGTATCCGCTCTCCCCCCCGGACCCCGCATTCGCTGTATCCGCTCTCCCCGGACCCCGCATTCGCTGTATCCGCTCTCCCCGGACCCCGCATTCGCTGTATCCGCTCTCCCCGGACCCCGCATTCGCTGTATCCGCTCTCCCCGGACCCCGCATTCGCTGTATCCGCTCTCCCCGGACCCCGCATTCGCTGTATCCGCTCTCCCCGGACCCCGCATTCGCTGTATCCGCTCTCCCCGGACCCCGCATTCGCTGTATCCGCTCTCCCCGGACCCCGCATTCGCTGTATCCGCTCTCCCCGGACCCCGCATTCGCTGTATCCGCTCTCCCCGGACCCCGCATTCGCTGTATCCGCTCTCCCCGGACCCCGGATCCGCCCCCCGGACCCCGCATTCGCTGTATCCGCTCTCCCCGGACCCCGCATTCGCTGTATCCGCTCTCCCCGGACCCCGCATTCGCTGTATCCGCTCTCCCCGGACCCCGCATTCGCTGTATCCGCTCTCCCCGGACCCCGCATTCCGCATTCCCCGGACCCCGCATTCACTATATCGTCAAGGGGTTTAAAATAACACACGCAAAACTTGGAGTTGAGCTTTAATCTCTGTGGATTTTAGCTTCAAGTGGTTCAAACGTCTTAAAGGCCAGTTCACACTGGGACACGCTGTCCGATTTTTGCAGCCCACTTATTTGATTGTGCTGCAAAATTCACTGGAATGTGTAAAAAGTCGTGCAAGTATCACTTTTTTCAGGACGCACTGCGCCAACCCACATGGTAGAGATGTGTATGAGGTGCCATTAGCAATCCACTGGCAACTGCAGGGACACTGCGTTTGCCTGTGGTGCTGAAATGCGCACAAAACGTGGCTTACCAATCTATTTCACTTTTGCTCTGATTTTAGTAAATCTCTCCAGGTGTCATTATTTTTTTTACTGCTGCCTCAAGGCGTCATTGAACCTGTTTAAATGTTTTTTGGTCTGTTTTTTATTATTTTGTATGAATTAAATGGTATTTATATATTCTGTGTTTGTTTTATCAGCAGAAATGCACTACATATGGAAAACACTACCCCCTCACCACTTCCCCATTGAAGCCACAGGATAGAAGGGTGTCTGTTCTATAAAAAGCCATTTAGCCGAGGTCTTCCTCTCCCAGCCGGAGACTTTCCATGTCTGCTACAGGTTGAAGCCCGTCGTCGTTTATTTATTTGATCATGGCGGAGCCGCGAAGGGTGCAGCTGTCCAGCATTCCTTCTTCATCCCCTTTCCACCCCTCGGCACCGAAGAGGCCGCGTCCGGATAACCAGGAGCCAGAGGCGCCTGTGGCAGCCACAGTCCGCATTGCACTGTCTCTGTTTGAGCCGGATCAGAAGAAATGCCCGGAGTTCTTCTACCCGGAATTACTGAGGAATCTGCAGGGGAACAGCAAGAAGAACCCTACAGGAGAGAATGTGAGTGGACAGAGAAGGCAGGCTTTTTCCTTTTTTATGGTGGATGTTGGTGGGTTCATTGGATGGGTAATTATCGCTGTAATATGATCGCTTTTTAGTAAATGTTTGGACAATTTTTGTTTTTTTGGAGATCCATGGTGTGCTAGCGGCATACACTTTGACTTATGGTTGATCCCATTTTCCAGCTGGTAGATTCTACCACACCCATTTATTTAAGGCCGTCTCCGGGAATGTGTGCGATGGGACTATTCTAGGCTGGGGGTGTCAAACTGGCGGCCCTCCAGCTGTTGCGAAACTACAAATCCCATCATGCCTCTGCTTTTGGGAGTCATGCTTGTAACTCAATCTTGCAATGCCTCATGGGACTTGTAGTTTGGCAACAGCTGGAGGGCTGCCTGTTTGACACCCGTGTAAATCTAGGCAATAGGTTTATCAATGGCGCATGTTGGCCAAACGTATCAATTTTGTTTTGACCACTTCACACAGGTGGACATCTTATGACGTCATGGGAGTGAAGGGGGTTACACCAGGATGATGCCTGGTATATCATCCTGGTATCAAAATTTACAGCCCTTCGATTCCATGTAAAGCAGAAGTGGCTGAACAGCCCGTCAATCACTTCTGTAGGTGTTGGAAGGGGGCCCCCCAATGCCGCCACCGCCTTTCCTGTGCTCACGCATCATCTGAACTAAACAGAGACAGGAACTGACATTGTTCCTCCCTCTCTGTGACCCTCAGAAACAGAAGACACAAGGATTTAATAATTTCTTTACTTTCGGTTCTTTGTTTACCTGGCTGTCAGCAACAAGATAAGCAGACTGATCTGTGTCCAGTTGGCTGTGTTGGAGGCCAGATGAGAGATCTGGGGTCTAATAGACCCCAGATCTCTCTATAAGGAGGACCTGTCATGGTCCATGCTATCACAAGGGATGTTGTTCATCTCTTGTGATAGCAATAAAGTTGATTAAAAAAAAAACATTTTTTTTTTTTGTGCGAATGTATATATAAGTCCCACAAACCTATGTAAACGGTGATCACACCAAACGTGTGCTATCATCACAAACGTCAGAGTGAGAACAATAATTTAGCTCTAAACCTCCTGTGTAATTCTAAACTGGTAACCTGTAAATGCGTAATAAAGCGCCACCTGTGGAGATTTTTTAGGTACTGCCACTCCAAGGGTGTATGCAATTTTACAGTGTGACCTGTTTGGTATCTATTTACTCGGCATGACAGATTCCATGCACACTAGCGTGTTTTTTTTTTTTTTTTTTTTTTTTTTTTGTGTGTTTAAAACTCCTAGAAGCTATTATCAGCATTTTTTTTTTTTCATCTTCTAAAAGCTAAATAGTGTTATCCTACTATATTAGGCTGGTAGCATTTTTTTCAAGCTTCAGCTTTACGAGCAGAAAAAAATTGTTTTTGTAGGGGTTTAGGGAGTGTTTTTTTTTTTTTTTTCGGCAGAAAAAAATCACTGAACACTCCTAAACTCTGCTAAAACAATCCCAACTGCCTTTTTTTTCCCTACAAAAAAAGCTAATAAAACACTAACACTCCTAAACCGCTACTACAAGCCGGCATGGAGCCTTATATTTTAGCACAAATTGGGTTTAATATTGTGTTTACGAGCAATATAATTCAGTAAAGTGTTTTTTCCCACAAAATTTGACTGCAAATGCAGTCAGACACAAAAAAATTTATAAAATAAATAAATAAATATAAACCTCCTCCACTACAGTCCCCTCAAAAAGTCACACTTTCTCCCTAGAAAGTTCACTAATAATATAACCTTTTTGTGATATACCATAAATAATGATCATATTATAACACATTAAAAATTAAAAAATTTAAATTAAACCACAAAGTGTCCAATACCAATAAAGTCCCAAGTGTCCAAAAAGTCCAAAATTTCAAACTTTCATCCAATAAGAAGGATTGGCTCCTATTTAATCTGGCGAAAACCTCAAAATAAAGAAAAATACTCTAGTGCATTACCTTTTATACAAAAAGAATAATTATTCGGTGCAAATCACAAACCACTCCAAAAAAAGTGTCCAAAAAAAAAAACATTTTTGGACACTTTTTTTAGAGTGGTTTGTGATTTGCACCGAATAATTACCGTATTTTTCGCTCCATAAGACGCACCTGACCATAAGACGCACCTAGGTTTTTGAGGCAGAAAACAAAAAAAATTCTGAACTAATGGACTGCAGACACAGTACAGGAGATGACCAAGACTGCGGACAACACAGGGATGACCAGAGACTGCGGACAACACAGGGATGACCAGAGACTGCGGACAGCACAGGGATGACAGACTGCGGACAGCACAGGGATGACCAGAGACTGCGGACAGCACAGGGATGACCAGAGACTGCGGACAGCACAGGGATGACCAGAGACTGCGGACAGCACAGGGATGACCAGAGACTGCGGACAGCACAGGGATGACCAGAGACTGCGGACAGCACAGGGATGACCAGAGACTGCGGACAGCACAGGGATGACCAGAGACTGCGGACAGCACAGGGATGACCAGAGACTGCGGACAGCACAGATGACTGCTGAGCTTTGGGGAGGGGGGGGAGCGGCTACCTGAATTTGACAGGTACCCGCTCTTACTTCCGCGGAGTTGTTCTTTGATCTTACCTGTTCCTCGATCCAGCCGCGCGCTGTCTTCCCGGCTTCTGTAATGGCGCTCGGCATGACAGCCGGGTGCCCAGTGCGCATGAGCGAGAAGCACTTGCGCTTTGTGATTGGTCTGGCGGCTTCTGGGATCTGTCATGTGTCCCAGGTACTGCCTTACCATTCACAAAAAGCACCGCTTCTTGCACATGCGCACTTGGCACCCCGGCTGTCATGCCCAGTGCCCACACTACAGAAGCCGGAAGACAGCGCGCCGCTGGATAGAGGAACAGGTAAGATCAAAGAACAAAGGAGTAAGAGCGGGTACCTGTCAAATTCAGGTACCCGCTCCCCACCTCCCCAAAGGTCAGCAGTCATCTCCATAAGGTCCCGCTGCAGAGCTGAGCGGCCGGCCCGGTATTCTGACGCGGCGGTGGAAATACCGGACCGGCCGCTCCATATTCGCTCCATAAGACGCACTGACATTTTCCCCCCTTTTTTGGGGGGGGAAAAAAGTGCGTCTTATGGAGCGAAAAATACGGTATTCTTTTTGTATAAAAGGTAATGCACTAGAGTATTTATTTCTTTATTTTGAGGTTCTCGCCGGATTAAATAGGAGCCAATCCTTATTGGATGAAAGTTTGAATTTTTGGACACTTTTGGGACTTTATTAGTATTGGACACTTTGTGGTTTAATTTTTTATAATATGATCATTATTTATTTTATATCACAAAAAGGTTATATTATTTGACACAAAAAATTGCACCCACCATTTTTATCTCTAGGGCCTTTGCAAAAAAAAAAAAATCATGTTTGAGGGTTGTAAGTGATTTTTCTAGAAAAAATGCAGGCTTTTAAATTTAGGAGAGAAATGTTGGGGGAAAAAAAACACTTTAATTTTTTTTTTCTTAATAATAATAATAATAATAATAATAATAATAATATTAATCTCTATTTTAAAGCTAAAGCTGTTATATATTAAGGATAACAAGACTGGTTCTGATGTCCTTCATTATGTTTTATCTCTATTATTTCCCTTTCTCAGAAGAAGCATTTCAATCCATTTGATGACGAGGAAGCGGAGAGGAAGGAGGTGGAAACCTTAGCTAGGAAATTTGAATTGAAATATGTAAGTGTCAGTAATATTACACAACCTGTCACAAAATTGCATGAAATATTTGGAGTCCAGCCGAACAGACTGATCGGGAATTATGCATTGTAGATTTATTTGTCCCTTTTTTGTAGATGACCAAAAAG